ATAGTCACAACATCACATTTGTTTAGTTAGAGTTTTCTCTAACTAAACGAATGTAATGTTGTGACTACCACCAGTTTATTTCGCGTCATCCTCCATTCCCGGGAAGAATTCCAACTTAAAATGCTAGTTTCTAGCATTTTAAATTGGAATTCTTCCCGGGAATGGAGGATGACGCGAAATAAACTAGTCATAACATCACATTTGTTTAAACAGTAAAGACACAAGAGAACACAAAATTCGATCTTTGAATATGCGATGGAATAAAATTTTAGATTAAGCGCTTCTGTGTTCGCTTGACATTTAAAATAGTAATACTTAATACAAAACGTATTGATTTTTTTTAATCTATTAAGTTGCAAAGAAAACGTAATAATGCAAGTTATTAATAAAGATTACTCTTTTTTAAAAAAAACTATGTTTATATATAGACAAACTTAATATTCTATTACTTTTTTTTCCCAAGTCGTGCGTATTTATCGTGATTTCAGCGAAAAAACACAAAGTTTTAATATCCTCTATACTGCTACTTCGGAAAATTGTTTATGTTCTTGGAAAAAAAATATGGAAAACTACGAGATTCATGAGAAATATCTCGAACGTCTGAAACTATTTATTTTTTGGTTTCGTGACGACTAAACTGTTTCCTTCTAGTATGATTCTGTTAACTTTTTGGGAAACAAAAAGGGAAGAATATTTAATGAGCAAACAGAACTACAGAGATGAGTAAATCGTCGCTTCTAGTACAAAATGCGGTAGACAACAGTAAGTTTTCTCATGCAGAATATACGGCAGTGACTCATTTTACCCGTTATGCAGTGACTCATTTTACCAGTTACGCAGTGACTCATTTTACCAGCTATGAAGTCACTTATTTTACCAGTTATGAAGTCACTTATTTTACCAGTTATGAAGTGACTCATTTTACCACTTATGCAGTGACTCATTTTACCAGTTATGCAGTGACTCATTTTACCACTTATGAAGTGACTCATTTTACCAGTTATGCAGTGAATCATTTTACCAGTCATTAAGTGACTCATTTTACCAGTCATGAAGTGACTCATTTTACCAGTTATGCAGTGACTTATTTTACTAGTTATGCAGTGACTCATTTTACCAGTTATGAAGTCACTTATTTTACCAGTTATGAAGTGACTCATTTTACCACTTATGCAGTGACTCATTTTACCAGTTATGCAGTGACTCATTTTACCCGTTATGCAGTGACTCATTTTACCAGTTATGAAGTCACTTATTTTACCAGTTATGAAGTCACTTATTTTACCAGTTATGAAGTGACTCATTTTACCAGTTATGAAGTCACTCATTTTACCAGTTATGAAGTCACTTATTTTACCAGTTATGAAGTGACTCATTTTACCACTTATTCTGGTAAAATGAGTCACTGCATAACTGGTAAAATGAGTCACTGCATAACTGGTAAAATGAGTCACTTCATGACTGGTAAAATGAGTCACTGCATAAGTGGTAAAATGAGTCACTGCATAACTGGTAAAATGAGTCACTGCTTATCCTTCGGGAATGAGATTCCCACGTTCCATTAGAGTCGGAGATGTATCATAACCCAGAAGTCCCTAATCCCAAGTTTCTCATTCTTCTTGTGTGTTTTAATAGTCTAGTTATCACGCATGCTTATTAATTACAACTGACAGTATAATTTATGAACTTGTATTTTATGTCGCAGGTTTTTTCCCATTTGGTGAGGGACCAAGCGTGGCTACGGGGTCAGCATGCCGGACCGTGAATCCAAGGGTTCATGGTTCGTTGTC